GATAGATAGATAGATAGATAGATAGATGGATGGATGGATACATAACAGTAACAAAAGGTCAATGAGTCAAGAATAAGTGCACTGCAGTGAGATGGAAGTTGAGCCACCAGAACTCAAGCTGTCACGGTAAAGAAGTATGTGCTAATGGATATGTTGACGATGCAAATATTTGAAGTACAAGGTGATTGACAGACACGAGTTACTGAGGCAGAGTATTGAAGCCAAATATAAATACAGATTTAAAGATGAATAACTGAAGCTGTACAAAGTTGTGCATTAGACTAACTTAGCCTGTAACAATGATGGTGCAGCAGATGTAAGTGTGTTTCAACAAAAAAAAAGTTAAAACAATATTGGAGGGAACCTTAAAATACAAGACTGGAGATACAAAAGTATAAAATCCAATAATAATTTTAAAAGGTGTGAACTTGTGATGGTGAAGCGCTTTAAACTGCAAAAGCATGTAAAACAAATTAAGTTTGTTTGAATGATTCTTATTAATTCCCTTAGAAATCCCACAAATCACAGACATGACATGGTGTCTTCAGCTATAGCTCTGATATGTTTGTGCTCTTTGCCATACGTCTGTAATTATTAACTAATCTTTCATTTGCCAAACTTATCAGAAACTTTGTCCCAGCAAATTTAGGAAAATGTCGTATTTTAAAGAAATCAATAGTTTCGTTAAAAAAAGAGCTTAGAGAATTGAAAACAACTCATCTATGACAGAAACTGACTAAAAGTGAAAATAACTTTTCATAGGTGATGTTTGTGCATGTGAAGGATTTTTGTAAATTTTATTTTATTTTAATATTATGTAATTGCTGGAACATTCAATAATAAATGAAACGTCATTCCAACACAGTGAAAACCATTTTAAAAACACTTAAAATGATTCAAATGAGTTTCCTGTGTGGAATTCAGAAAACGTAAATCTCTACATGACTGTGCCTAACTGTGCGCAGTGCAACGTTTTCCTTTCAGACTAAACAATGCACACACACATGCACACACTCATGTGCACACACACGGGGTCAAATGTTTGATAAATCTGTATATTTCACCCCGTTGCTGGATCATTTAGTCGTTTAGTCATTTTGATGATAAGACGCGGACACAACTGTTCCAGTGAGGAAATCTGAGGTTAATCTGGATCCACACACAGGAGCTACCAGTGTGTGTATGTGTGTGCTGAGTCACACTCTTTTTGCTGGCCAGTTCACTGCTGTGGTGGATCTATTTATTTAACTGGGCTGTGATGGGTGGTCTGTGGTGATGAGCACGTTGGCTCTGTGATGTCAGAGACTAGATTCTTCTTGTCTTTGCAGGAAATTAAAAACAATTTCCACTCACACTCATCTTTGATGATCAGATTTGGAATAAACACAAAAAGTCACATTTGCCTGCAGAACAAATGTTTTTATCCCCAAAACTAATATGAGGTCATTTGGAATTCTGGCTCCTCTGATGTTGCCATGGGAAACAGACCCAGAATTCTTTGGCTCACACTAACATGTTTCCTAACTCTGTTAAAAAATTGGATTTCGTCTGCTCTCTGTGGCCTTCTGATTTCTGGAGAGAGACAATAACACAGACTAATGTTTCTCTTACTGGCACATGCACATGCACACACACACACACACACATTCACACCAAACAAGATGCAGGAAGTGTGAGAAAGTGTTTGCATAGAGAATAAGAATAGTAGGATTATGGTTGTGAAACTGTGGAATGTTATTAACCCCCCCCCCTCACACACACACACTCACTGCTCAAATTCTCTCTCCCCTGTAGACACTTTCTCTTCCTTGTCTCTCTCTTTCTTCCTTCCACTCCCCACACACACACACACACACACACACTCAGACACAAGGGCATTGCGTGCATTGGTCATGATTTCCTCTTTGTGGGCTTTGCGGAGTGCCCCAGCTCGTCTGTGCTATGTGAATGACTCAACAAATCAGGGCTCAGGATGCAGGTGCATACATGACCACGTGAATGTGAAAATTAACAACAAGCCCTGGAAAGTTTCAATATTCAGGGCCTTTCTCCTACTGTACAGTGCGCACACACACACACACACACAGAGACACTATGCAGAGGAGATGAGACCCGAAACATCTTCAGAAAAACTGTCGACGTGTCTGAGTGCTCCAGCTTTTAATGTCAGAGCAAATCTGCAGGTGCAGCTAGGTGCTTCCGTGCCAGAGGAGAGGCCTACCTCCAGAGCTAAGTATCCTGAGCACATAATTAGCACTCTCACATGAGAGGAATATTGCTCTCGGATGATGATTTAATTGGGGAATGTAATGATTTAAAGGGTGCTGCGTTGGAGCAGGTCTTCAGGCCGGGAGAGACTGTGGGTGGCTTCGTCCTCTGGAGGGGAAAGTGTTTCTGGAGTTTTGATTCGTAGCATCACACTGAATTAAACGTTCTTTATTCAGAGCCTGTTGAGAATACTGTGCTGGTGACATGGTTCCAGCACTGAGGTTGAATGAAGTTGTTGAATTACTCTTTATTACACACGACTCTTCTGGACTGAATATGAGGCAAGTTAAATGTGGTTTTGAACACAAAAAAACACACATTGAAATTATTACTTCCAGTGTATAAAACATCATAGTATACACATTTTTGAGTTATTAAAAGTTTGTCGGATGTTTCGCAACTTTCTCCAGTTTCTTTATTTCTTTATTCATTTATTAATTTGACCGGTAAAATGGACGATATTAGAGCACTGGTTGATCGCCTCTGTTATAAACCAAAGTGACAAAGTTACAGAGGAGTGTTACTGTCTTTCTTTAACTGAATTTTAATCTGAGTGAACCAGCACTTAATTAAAGTTGAGGGGGTGTTAAATATTTTAAGCAAAAAAATAATTGCACACAAGGTAAATTCTCTTTATTATTTGATTCTTTTATTCACGTAAACATTGTGAGTGTCATGCTTTTAATACAAACAGTTCGAGACCTTTCTGTTATTTTCTATTCTTGATTTTTCTAGAGATGACTAATATTTCATACATATGTAAACAACGCGAAAAATCATAAAATGTATCAGTTCACGTTCACTCAAGTAAACGTACGTACTAAAGTTTAACAGTTTAACAGGAGTCATAAAATGATCATCGCTTCTTTTGCTGAACAGACATTTAAGTATGTTCTGTCGTAGAATCTGCCTCCTCCATGTTAATGGATGGGACATAGGCCAAACAGTCAAAGTGAACATAAAATAATTGTTTCTCAAAGACAGTTTGTGTCATTTTAAGTTGTTCTTATTCAATCTCCAAGATATTTTGACCTCATTTCTGGACAGTGGGAGGAAGTGGAGACGTTCATCTTAGTATTCAGCGAATGGTTTCGACAGAACCAGGTGACTCAATAAGTGAGTCAATTAAGTAGCTAACTGGAGACTTGAGAAGAGAGCACCAGTGAATCCCCCCCAAAAAATGGAATCATCAAAATCAATTTTTTCATATGTGATGTGATTGGTGTTAATTTTTCTTTGACGACAGGAACACACTTAATTATGAATGAAAGAGGGAACGAGTTAAAGAAGCTTGTGGAACAGCGGCTAGCCCAGACGTGATGTCATGACGTGGGCTTCCACTCACAGATGAGAGACTGGTAACAAATAAATGAAAGCAGATACGTAACAAAGCATATTCCCAAATAATTTCTAAAAATAAAACATAAAGAGATTGCTGATGATTACAAAAAAAAACATAAAAATACGACACACAATAAGAACCAGTTGCAAAAAAAACGCTAATATGGTCATAAATCCTGCAGAAACGCTTTATTTTCTCAAATTCTTGCAAACCAGTGGGGCTGAAACTTGAGTATATAGGAGTCGGAAGCACTTCAGTGTAAAATTCCACTGTTCTGTGTGCAGCCTTCGGGCCCTTGCAGGTATAGGTGTAGTGTGTCAGATTCCAGGTCTCCACTGCTGCAGGTGTAGGTGTAGTGTGTAAAATTCCACTGGGTGCAGCAAAGAACCACCATTTTCAGCCTGAGCTTTCCATCATCCTACAGGGGCATTGGAGGAGTCCTACAGCTAACCGCTTTTCGAAATGACCCGGGAGCATTGAACTGTCTAAAAATCAGCCTGAAACAACACGGTCAGGGAAATAAACACAACCTCTTGGTGAGATACGGGGAAAGAGAGCAGACGTTTCTACTGTGCCAAGTTTTGTTTTTACCAAAATAGTAGCTTTAATGTGAGACACTCCCTCCAGGGGAGCAGGGAGTGCTCCTTTCCAGTAAACATCACTGAAATGTTTGAGGTATCCAGAGGGGGTGCACTTGGTGTGTTTAGGAGTTGCCATCAAACAAAACCATGGTTACAAGCTCCTCTTCCATGTTTTCAAACAGGATTACATGTTTAGACGAGCCATCCTGGTTTAAAAACAGATACAGAAAAAAAATTGCATGGTCTAGTGCCACGATCAATACACGAGAGTTCAGCTCCAGAACAGGTGAGGCTTTCTGCGGCGCATTAACAAAGCTTAAACAGCGCGGCGGCTTCGAAACTCATCGGAAAGATGCATTTGCAGCTGCCCTCTAGGCAGCATGAACCAAAGCCAAGAGGTGTCCACATAAATTAGGAATGTTGTAGCTGGCGTCGATATTTCACAAGATGCGCCAAAGTGAGGTGGATGAGCAGGCTTATTACAAACACGGAGAGCCGAGAGACAGAATATCTCAAAACTCAGTAAAAATCAAAAAATGAAATATAGATTTCACAGTCTTGTGTAGTTTATGATGGAGCCAGGTGTTACCTGTAACAACCCAATCACCCTGCAGAGGTTTACAACATCCAGTCTTTCCCCAGAGCCCTCAGGCACAACAACCATCAGCTGTTTATGGTCAGTACACTGCAGCAGCCACAGTCACATCAGTACAAATAAAACCAGATGAAAAAAGATGTTTCACGTGAATGTAGCCATGAGGTGTTTTAACAGTAAACATTACGGTTTTTAAGCGACACAAATCAGAGTTGAACAAATACTCCTGGTTAAAAGCACACAGAGAGGAGATCGACATGATGGCACTTTCCAAAAAGAAAATGATTTACGTTAAGTAGGTAGAATCTACACAAAAAAAATCCCTAAAGTCCACTGACCCACAGTCTCCAACTTTATAGCCAAACAAGCAAACAAGGCTACTGTTTATCATTTTCAAAGTGTTTCCAAGGTTTTGGGTGAGGATCTCTTCTGAGGAACTTCTTCTTCGGGATCTCGCTGAGGGAGAACTGATGGGAAAGGCACGAGGGGTTTTCCTTACGAGAGACGATGCAGTCCTTGATGGCCTCTTTAATCACCTGTAAGAGACAAACACAGGAGGAAACACAAACTGTCATATATTACAATACATTAAGTATTGTGTATGTCATGATCAAGATGCACACATTTGTTCCACAGTAAATGATTGTATACAAAAATGGACGACGTGTCCTCACTTCCTCTCACTTTCAGGAATGAAGTCAAAAAATATGAAAGCTGCCATCTAACAGATTTGGAGCCAGAATCACGCGTGTGATTAGAACTACCCAACATATGTCAGAAACCATCTGATTTAACTTCTGATTTTCCATCAAGATTTAACATCTACTTTGACTTTGACTTTTTAGTTTTTGTCAATGTCCAATCCACTAACATGGAGGGGGTAAGATTTATGACCTATGCCGCAGCCAGACACCAGGTGGCGATTGAAATTATTTGGCTTTACTTTTGGGTTTGAGTCAGTCATCCATCTTTATATCTAATTAATGCAAGTTACGATACGATATACTTTTTTGTCCCCGTAGGGAAATTGGGTTAATTTGAAGTACATTTTTCACAAATCCGTTTGACACAACTTCAAGCTGTGCTGTGGTTTTTCATAGAATCCTGCCGCCACCCAACATTTCTGGGTATTTAAAGTATGTCGGAATGAGATGACTTACTGGTGAAATTGAAGAATTTCGGCATCAGGTCTGAATCGCTCCTCTGTGAGGAAGTGACTCAGATAGACTATGAAAGTCAGTATGACCTGCACAGCGACACACCTACAGCAAACGTGTCAGGACGTGTGCCTTCCCATGATAGACGGGCCTTTGGGATTTGCCCCTTTTCATGTTGCACAATGGATTAATATTTGTGGAGTGACAACATAGAAATGCAAATCTTCCACAATGACAGGACTGAATGAATATCAAATGAGCGTATGTAATGCTTGCAAGTAAGGTCACTAATCATCAGCCCACTTAGCCACCTTGAAAAACTATATACTTAGATAAATCGTAGACATCACTACTGACTGATGTTTCTCAGGGTTAGAAATACAGTGTTTTTTCATTCCTCCAGGTAAACATCCTGTAGTAAAATCACAGGGAGCAAACTGACCTCCAGGTTGTTTAGAGTGTTGAACTCCATGAGGTCATGGAGTCGGGTGAAGGCATTGTTGGAGTACTGGAAATTAAAAGTGGAGAAAGGAGATTCCGGGTCGTCAAAGATGTCGAAGTCTGCCAACTCTTTCTCCACCTCAGTCTCTCTGGGGACACCTGTGAGTACATGTATAATTATTAATAAGTAAGTGAGGATGAATAAGAGTAAAAAACTGATCCAAAAATTTGGTATGACTTTCTCCAAGGTCAATTTATCCACTTTTCTCGAGCTTTTGACCATATCACATGATCGTCATTGGTCTATGGAGTTTAAGCATTTGTCATTGAATTGTACAAATTTAAATTAAACTTTAGTTCTTGAAAACAAGAAACATCTACAGTTTCATATATGCGAACCCCTGTTCCTGATGAAGATCATGCAGTGTCGTCAAAAGCTTCACAAAGACTAGTGCTAGAAGTCGAGGTGAGCTGGTTTTCGTCAACTAGATAGTAAAGTGTATTTATACAGTGGGTCCAAGGAGCTGAGGGTTCGGACCGCCAACCCAGAAACCAGCAGACGACCTGCTCACACAGCTCCTCACCTATGCACAACTAAACATGCATTTACGATTGTAGATCTTTGTGGATCTTTCAATGTGGATGTAAATTTCTTAGTATTTTTCCTGCTCACTTTTCTCAAAACGTTTTATCATCTGCTTTCTGCTGAAAACTCAAACATTATTACTTCATTATTAGTTTTCATTGTTTAATTACGAGTGTAAAGATGTAAGGCTGCAGGCAGGAAGACGTTATACCTTTGAAAATGCAGACATAGAGTTAAGAGCCCATTCCTTAATGACCTATGCAACTTCCTTTTTTCACTAATAGGAAGTCCATGTACGGTTGCATTCCTTCCTATGTCTTTTGGGTTTGAGTGCAAAAAAATGTAACATCCATAAACACACTGCGGATGTGTGTGGGCTGATGACCTACTCAATGTAAAGTTGGTTTGTCTTTGTGTGTCTCATGATGTATGGCATGTTTACACACAGAGCTCTCCCACCGGAGCGAGAGATTCCCTACTGGCACCTAGCTCCTTGAGGAACCATAATTCACTGGGGCGGCTCATAAAACAGTGGTTCACATCTCGAAACACACACACACACACTCACCATTTCCAGTACAAAACCACACATCTTTTTTACCAGGGTCACTCAGATGTAGGGCCAGACTTTTAGCAAAACACGAATTGTCTGCTGTCGTCGGATTGAATAAATTCCACAGCGCAACTTCGAGGAAGAAATTCCTCATGTGTCATGACGGTAAACCAGCATTATTATAATAATACAGAAAGTGTTGGCATACCCCCCCCTCCACACGCATACTGTGGAAAACTCCACGTAGGCACATACTCACCAGGCGCTTTGAATTGTCTGAAGTTGATGTTGACCAGGACAAAGTGGATGACAGTCGGGCAGTTCTTTTCTCCTTTCTTTGGTTTGAAAACGTAGCATTCCTTTAGGCCCTCACGATCAAAGACTTTGGGGTCGATCTTGGGGAATGGGAGCTTGTTCATTCGAGCCCACTTTTCTGCAAGCAGCAGCTCCTGTGGGATACATTTACAAATTAGAGAACTCTGGTCTCCACCTCTTGTTTGCACGGAGCACAATTTGTGACAGTAAAACAAAGATTCTTCTCATAGTTCTAACTTTGAATGGGGGGCTGGAGTCACTCGGTCGTGCAGAGAAGTCGAAGGAGATGATGAGGTTGACGCCACGCTGCGGCCGCAGGATGAGAGGGTAGGGCAGGTTGTAGGTCAGACCACTGTCCACGACATGGATCTTCTTACTCTTCACATCCAGAGGCTCGTAGATGCGATCAAACTCATCCGGGTCTGAGGAAATCACACAAAACCAAATAGATAAATGGAAACGTGAATGGAAAGATGAATGTTTGCACTTTAGGGTACTCTTTGATTCACTCTCACTTTCTACTTCCTTCCTCTCAGCTTCAGGGAATAAAAGACGTGTTTTCAATAACACAATAAAAAAAATGCACACTAGCCGTTCAGCACAAAATAGCACAGACACAGTTAGCGACTATCACACATAGTGGTGCATTTAGCAGCTCAAGTGCAAGATATCTGCCTCCGGCATTGGCACCGAAACCTGAGCTAAATAAATTAATGCTAATGCTGCGGAGTGTAACTAGCATGTTCACCACAACTTAATCAGGTGATATCACTGTGCAGGTCATACTGACTTTCACAGTGTTTACAGTTTGTTTCAACTGTGCAAAAAGATTAATAAGTGCTGCTGGACTGAAACCACATTTTTTTGGTTTGACTTTTGGTCCATTGGTCCGAGGCACCTTTCACACCTTTATTATTTTTTCTTATTTTGGTCTGGACTAAACTGAAAAGTTAGAATGTTTACACCAAACACGATGGTGTAGCATTTAAACAATCAGTTTAATTTTTGAACATACAGTCGTACGACTTTGCCAAAGAGTATGAATCAGCAAAATAATGATTGACATTTGGTAAATTTGGGGCAGCTGGTTTAGTACAGAACATACATTGGGGCTATATTTGATAGCAGGCTTTAACTATACTTACATGCCCATGCATTTCCAAGTTCTACACAGTTACTCTTATCTGTCTCCAAAAATGTCAGCATCATTTCTGATGTGTATGACATAATTGTGACGAAAATGTAGAGTCAAAACCTCAAGATTATTATGTCCTGTCTTGTTTTTGACAGCAAAGGAAACGTGCCAGCTGAAACTCTCGCTTTTTTCTTTACCCCAGGCTGTATTTCTGTGGAAACATGTAAAGTTGTGAAGCTATCCTTTAGGTCTGGAAGCGGCAAACTGTGACGATATGTCAGCATTCTCACCTGTGACGGCATCAACCTCCTCCTCAGGTGGAAGACTGTGAATCGTGACCTCATTGACCGGAGAGAAAGGGATACTGGTGTTCAGGTTCAAGCCCAGCATGAAGTTATGCACCTGGTAACATAGAGAAATTGTATTGTTGGGAGAAACAGAGGCAGGTTGGTGTGATTTGACTACAGGAAATTATATAAACAAGAATGCAGCTGAAGGACAAGGCAGTGTTTTGCGTGACTCATTCCATCATTGATGTGCGTTGCGTGAGCGAACACATTCAGGTACCTTTCCGGCTCTGCCTTCTCTTGTGTTGAACAATGAAGAGTCACTGAAGAGCGATGTTATCATTCGCTGGACCCAGCTGGCCTTAGCGGTGCGATAAAACTCATCCTCTGCCTCCTGGTTCTCTCTCCCACCTGAGTGTCAATGGCATATTGTCAAATCGCAAGATAAATCGTTTAATAGTGAATCAGTATCTGTTTCTTTTTCTGCAATAAAACAACTTCACTGCAACTAAATGAAAACATCTCACCTTATCGCCAAAAAACAATAAATGATTTGATCTAAATGACCAGAATCACATAACAAAAAGAGAAATTACCAGGTACATTCCTACCTTCTCACCATTTTCTCTGCATAAGCTTGTTTTTGACTCTTTTATCATGCTATAATTTTTCCTATCATTTTTTTTCTTTTCCAAGATCAGTGCTGTAATGTAAAACCAGAAGATGTCTCAGGTTTTTTCCAACATGTATTTGGCCTTGTTCCCATTTCTGGCTTCGATGGTTTATACAAAAACAAGTTATTTCTAACCTGGAGCATTTCTACTTTGAGCTCTCTACGTCATCTTTGTTGCCTCTGAGCAATACACATAGTTTAGACATATTTTCATTAAAATAACAACACAAGTGCAGAAAGTTCTGCAAGCCTACTTTATTAATAAGTATTTCAGTAAAACTGAACATTGAGTACATGAGAACACATGAGCACTGCATTTTCTGCTGAAAAGCCGAAAAATGTTTCATCGAAACATTTACAGATATTTTGACAAGTAAGCTTTAAATAAATAACTATGTCTTTTTTTCTTCCTCAAAATCTCTATAAACATCTGCATGTGAATATGAAGAATCTGAAGGCGAGGGACAAGACTTTGAGTCCAGACGCCCTCTGGTTTCAGTTTCACCAATCACCAATCCTCCAACCAGAAGGTCAGTGGTTCGATCCCAGGCTTCTCCATCTCCAAAGTGTCCTCGGGCAAGATGCTGAACCCTGAACCCCAATGCACTGTATGAATGTGTGTGTGAATGAGTGAATGGCAAACTGTAATGTAAAGCGCTTTGAGTGGTCATCAAGACTAGAAAAGCGCTACATAAATACAGACCTTTTAATATTTACCATGTGCAGACTGTTAGAGATTAGCCAAAAGGTCATCTGGAGCTAAAACACCTACAAAAAGTATCACTGTTTGTGTATAAATGTGGAAAACTTGTAACTTGTGTGATTAAAGAAACTAGTCGGGCTATAAACACGGAACAGAACAAAAGTCTTGGCCCAGACATCCACTCTCTACACCGGAAGCTCCAATATTTGATCATCGTCAAACGATAGCCAATGGGTTCCTTGATTCCCAGAACCTTCATGTCCCTGCGCACCAGGTTCGTCCTCCACTGCCTGCCCAGTTTACCCAACACTGACTCACTCTCCAACCAGACCCCTGCCAGAACCTCGGCTGTGGGTTCAGGATAAGATTGAGAACACTACACTCCAACCTGTCCTGAGCAGAACCCAGCTCTGCACTCCTGGAGAAGCAGTTTGAGATTCCTTACAACCTCACGATGAACTCTTTAAGACTTATTGGCTTTTTAACTTGTGTTTCTGCAGTTTCAGTCCAGTCAATTAAAAACATGAACAAACCTATCAAAGCGAACCACCAGATCTATCTTATGACATTTGTACAAAGAGGGATATTATTCTATCTTAAGGGGCATTCTTTGTCTTCCTGTCTTCCTCTTTTTATCGTAGTTCTACTATTTCACTCAAAGCTAAACTTAGAAAAATATGTGAGTGCCTCAAATTGTTTTCGCAGTTTTATGAATGAGGTCATTTAAGAATCAACTTTCCCTCAGACGTAAGAACGAGTCAAACTGTTTTTCAACACCACTCACAGTCACGCATCACAGTTGCATCAAGCTAAATTTAATATGGTGCACAAAGAGGTGTCTGGTGTCAGAGCTGCTCGTATAACTGCATAATACATATTTGACTGTGGCTCACCTTTTCGCAGCTCGTCCTCATTGTCCATGCTGTCCTCTCCAACAATGTGCTGAGGTTTGATCTGCTCTGTAAGGCACGAAGCAACAAGGTCAAACCAGGCTCATGTGCGCCACACGTCAGCACTGCATCTGACAAAATGCTCTTAGTTCAGTGATGTGACATTATCAAATTCACTGCTTATTGTTTGTCTGTATCAAAAAATAACTCCTGAGAGAAATGCAATACAGCGAGTAAGGCAAGGTATTCTTACACTGGTTGAAAATGTTTTGTGTTTGACTGTGTAAAGGTCACCACAAGCAGATGCATTCATCAGTGATAAACATCAGAGGAGCTGTCACAGGATGTAATCACAGGAAGCTAATATCAAATGCTCAAACTAACACACACAAACACACACTTCTGGTGGGATAGTTTCAGTGTGGCTATTTTTACTTACTGGTCTTATTGTGTTTCTAAATAATTCCAGCAAATCAAGGCAACAAATAACAAAGGGATCTCAGAGAAGTCCGTTTCAGGTATAATGTTGCTTATAGTGAAAGGTTAACATCCATTTTAAGTAGCCTACATTTTGTACTTTGTATTTATGTAATGATTAATTTATAGTGCATTAAAGAGTATAAAATATGTTTTGTTTGTTTTTACACAGTTTTCCTTTTCTCAAAAAACATCTACTGTATAGAGCAAAGGTTTTTATTTCACTCAAAACATTTTATATTACTCTATTATTTCTGTTTGAATTTTTAACAGATTTCATGTATTATCTCTCAGGAGTCCCCGATCATGAATCAAATCTTGTATAATACGTCACAGCTTAATCACAGGGCCACGTGGTGAGTGCATTCAACTACAGTCAAAAGTGGTGACGATTAAACTGACAGTTTAAGTAAAACATTGAACAATTTGCTGTCAAAATCAGGAAAAGGAACATTTGAGCGATTACCTAATTCCTCCTCCATGGTGCTGCCACCAACGGTGTCTTTAATTCCCAGGACTCTGTTAAAAAGAATGGAGAAAGCACTTCCCCACACACCTGAAACACACACACACACACAGACAGATACACACACACACACAGAGAACACTCTGTCAGAATCACGAGAGGAGTTTGGTTTAGTGCTGCAGATGAAAGAATCTCTCACCCATCAGAAAATGAAGAGGGTTCTCTTCGTATTTCTTCACAGCGGTTCCCATGAAGAACTTGCTCCCGAACAGGTCTGGGGTCATGAAGGTGCCGTACTTTGCCATTCCAATTTCATACGGGCTGAACTCCACCCAGTCTACAGGTTGAAATGCAAAAGAAATAAACAAACGCATAATATTCACGCATAGCGCTCAGCATGTCTAAACTGAGCAACTGTTGTAGTTAATTTCAAACAATTGCATTTTTTTATTTTTTGCGCTTTCATTTGATGTATTTTAAATTAAAAAAATTAAACATGAAAATGGCAGCTGACCCTAAAACCTGGGGGTAGAAGATGACAACGACATTATCATCAGTTATTAGTAGTAAAACTAGCAGTATTCCTAAAAACATTTAAGGAGCAATAGGTTTGCAGAGGAGGGGAACTGATCAAAACAATACACAGCTGCCTGGTGCACAGGGAGGTGAAGTAACAGGGAGTTCGATAAGGTCCCAAAAAATATGTTTACAAGGCATTAATGTTGTAAAGCTGTAAACAAGGCCAGAATAGACAAAATATTGAAAGTCCAAGCTTTGAGATTCCTGACATCTTATAACAATAAACTCATTTGCCTCTTAGTTTGTGTCTCTGCAGTTTGTGTCTCTGCTGTTTGTGTCTCTGCAGTTTGAGTCAAGTCGATTCATAACATTAACAAACCTAAAATAAGACTTTTCAGGAGGAAGAGGATGCTGCAAAGATTTGTCACAAAAATAATCAAAACTGTTTTTAAAAAGGTCTTTTTTTCAATGACTAAGTCTGTGAGTGAGTGTAAGTGAGTGTGGGAGTCCGGCCTTGATGCATATCATCGTGACACTGCACAACATACGCACTCCGTCTCTTCCCAGTATGAAGCATGTCTCCTACAGTCTGAGTGATATCTTATCCATGTGAACCCTCCTTTCACTATTTTTCAGCAAATGAGGGCAGGAGCATTTCTTTGGCAATGAAGCTACGGAGATAAGATCTTTGTGTGCTGCTCCAGGCTCAACATCGAATGAATTTGATATCAGGGAGCTTGAAACTAAAACATCCTCACAGACTGTCTCTGTTATTTTCTGCAGAGGGGCATTGGAAGGTGTCTGCAAAGGACATGAAGCCTCACTGTTGGACTAGTTTCGGGATGTGTGGATTCATTTCAAAAGATTTAATTTCTTTATTTTATTTTCAATATATATGTTTGTTCTGCTGCGGTTAGGTAGCATACAGTTTCTGTGCAGGCTACAACAACAATGAGGAAGTATTGTACAACATCGGACTAACCCAGAGTCCATCATGGCCTCAGTTCCTCGATGTAGTTCAGTTACTATCAACACAGAGCCGTCACTAGACAACAGCCCACCACGTCATAGAACATCCTCTCAGTGTTAGAAGGAAATATGTATCACTCGGTTATTTTGCATGTGGCCAAACCCATCTGATAATCTCGGGTGATTCATTACATATGCAAAAAAAATGTTCTGCAAGTGAAATGGGACACATGCAACATATAATGTAACATAAAGCACGTCCAGATCCACAAAAACAAAAACTATATTTACCTGCAAACATGAGCTCAGAGACATCTGGCTTGACATGCAGACACGTGAAGAGAGGAAGCGGACTTTGTGCCTGGTTTATTTTCTCCTGGATATCACTTAGCTTGATGTCCATCCTCTGGCGGTGGAGAGAACAGTCTTTGAATCATTGCACACTTTTATTTTTGCACAAAATACAGATGTTGTGTGGAGAAAAGGTGCAACGCGTCTAAAGAAAAGAGAAGATATGAAAAAGGAACTGGGGGAAAGACGAGTGTTGCTCTAGTGTTGAGCAATAAGAAGATGGACGAATAAGGAAATCCTTTAAAATTAAAACAAACATCAGCTGTCTGGCGACTTACCGCAGGTACAAGCGTCTCTCCTATGAGCATACCAAAGATATCGGTGAAGGTAACAGGCTGCCCTAAGGCCTTTTTGCTCCACAGGGCCTGGATGTAGTTGGTGATGTGTTGGGGCATCAGCAGCCTCAGGGGGTTACCGCTAACTCTATTCATCAGCTCCTTGTTGATGTCCATCGGGCCTTTATTTGGAAAGTCGGGGTGGGAATAAAGAGTGGACATGTACCTACAGGGATAAAGAGGGAGGGGCAAAGTTAGATGTTACACAAATCTAAAAATGCAAGGTTGTTAAATCAGTTAACACATGCTTAAAATTCAGGTTCATGCAGGAAACGATGCTCTCATTAGGAAGTTATATCCACTAAGTCATGCCACAAATATGAAGATGGAGAATAAAATATGCCTCAGGTAATAGCTTGATGACGCTTGGAGCCAGGAAGGATTGGCAGTGCGGAGGCAACAATGAAGAAAGGACAAAAAGAAAGGAGTCAGACAAAGGCAGCGTGTGAAGTGAGAGAGGAATATGGGAGAAATACAAACTGACCATGTGGACCCGGAGAGGCCGGCGACGTACGTGGTACAGTCCAGAACCCCGGACTCAAACAGGGCCTTCATGACACCCGAGAAGCCGACCATGGCACGGAAACCGCCTCCGGAACCTGCGATAGCTATTACGGGAACCTGTGACACACACACACACACACACACACACACACATACAAAGAGAGTCATAATGCGAGAAGATGGAGATAATTTTGAGAACATAATTACACATTCACATTAAGGGGCTTTTCACTTCATAACTCTCTTGGTGCAACATGGCTTCCTGCCTCTCCTCCGTGTTTATCTCATCCTCAGTTGACAATATTCTGATAGAGATATTCAAACCGTGTCATAAAGGACATGAAGTGAAAGAATGTTGAAGTCTAGCAGAGGCCAGTTCCTGCTTATCTCATTGCTCTGCAGTTTCCTGCATAAACTGAAGTTTGCTGGCTCTGAAGATGCAAAGCCAAAAACAGACCAGAAAGAAAATGAAACTTAGATTGAGAGAACTTTAAGCTTTGCGCCAAGCAGGTTATGTTTTTACCCCATTACTATTGCGTTATGTCAGCAGGATTACCCATAAACTGCAGAGGAGATTTCCACAACACTTGGCGGGACGATGGGAAATAGGACAAAAAAATAACCCATACACTTTTATTGTTGCTCCGGACAAAAGGATGGATCCAGGAATTTAACATTGCAAGGCAGCAGCCAGAGCTCAGTCAGCCAAATTAAGTAGTTTAATTCTCGTCACTCCCCATGAGGGAACATCAAATGCTGAACAGGAGGGAGTGCCGTTTGACAATGTTACAGGTTAATTAAGTGGCATTAATAAATAGCAGTAGCAGCATGTGACAGCATAGCTTCTGGATGAGAAATAAGTTGACAGGTTTGCAGCAGACGAGCGTGCACGGCACTCACAGCAAAAGTTTACTGTCATATCTGCACAATATAATATAATAATAATAATGTTATGTTCCAGCTTTATTTAGCTGGTGTGTTCCCACCTCCTTTGGAGAGCTGGGGAGGAAACAAGGCTTCTCCATGTCCAGCAGCTTCTTGATGCCCAGCATCACTCTCTCTCTGCGGGTCTGTCTGAACTGTTTCTCTTTGTCACACAGGGCCAAGCTGAACCGCAGGTCCAGTTTAGTGCTGCAGATATAAATGACAGAAGAAAGGTTTGATTTAAAAAATCTAATAGTAGGAAGGTAGACATGTCTTGTATTTTACATTTTCTGCTGGGAGACAGACAGAGGATATGATTTCAGACTGACTGGTCTGGTGAGAAACACACATGACCTTTTGCTACTTAGTCTCAGAATTATTCACCTTTCAAACACGTGTGGCATTTCCTAACCCCCCCCATTGACACCTCTGCAGTCATACCCTGGGAATTATGATGCATTTGACCCCAGCGTTGGCACTGAGTGAATTCCCATATGTTTTCTAGAATTCCTGTGTATTCTTTAACCTGTAATGAATTTGTTCACAGACCATACGTTGGATATAATGGGTAAATTGGTAAATAATAAAAAGTAAAGAAATTCTTAAATTAAAAAAATAAAGATTCAGAAGGGATTACATACCAGATCTCCAGCGACATCTCCAAGTATACTTTGGTTGCCTGTCAGAACAATTAAATATGTGATTATCATTGTCACTTTCAGCTGCTGTTATTGTTGTAAACAGCCATACAAATCATTAAAATACAAATAGAAAGGTAATTATTCACTTTGTATGTTGTTAGATTCTGATTTCATTATTGTGTCACAATTGACCTCCATTAGGTCTATAATTATTATGTTGGCCTCCATACACAGTATATCTTCATACTATATATACTAAACAATTAACATACGCAATATTATATCAAATCTAATAATAATAATAATCTGTGCACATTTCCAGAGTATATGAGGGATTACATGTCTTACTTTGCCAATGAGGAAAGCCTCTGTCTTTGTTTGGCCCACTCTGAGCTTGGTGATGTCGAAGGACGCCGTCCCAAGTGTCTCATCCATCACATAGTTGGCGTCCATTAATGTTAACTGATTGGAATAAACAACGGAATTTCAACTCTAAATACACGCTGAGAGCTGCACATTAGTTATTCTAGCCAGTGTGCAAGTTCCCCTGAACAACTTCTTATCAATTTAGATTTGGGGAGAAGTTTAAAAAGTTTAATGTAAACAAAATTCTTAAAAATTGTATTATATATATATAAATTGATTATACACTGATCACAACACCCAAGTTACTAGACAATGAAATGCAGGTTTTACCTCCAGGACGTTCTGCAGGTTGGGGTCTAATATGAAGTGAAAGGTCTCGTCCCATTTTGGGTTGATGTCGTTGTCTATGTGCTTGGTTCTCTTTCTGCTCTCTGGGGCTGTCGGGATGTACAGCTCCACATATGGATCTGGGGTGTCCACTGCACACGCACACACACACACACACACACACACACACACACACAAATATTCAACAGTCTTACATTAGTAAGTATCCCTCAGTATAAGTACGTTTGAATGGTTTGTACCTGAAAGTTGTAAAATAAAAGCTAAAATAATTTCGGTCAAATTAACATAAACACATGCATGTAAGTACTTTGTGCATGCCCCAGGTTCTGAATAAATTGCAGCACTAGATGATAGAACTACACAAATAGAGGCAAAAAAAAGACGTAGTAAGACTCACACAGGTCACCCAGCGCTCCCTTGGTGACGCTCTCAGCTCGAACAACTGTCACTGTGAATTTGTGAGAAAACTGCTGTTCCACCTGCAATAAAACAGTCGTTCAGCTCAGTGTTACTCATTATGGCAACTGTGAAATATGTTAATTACTTGAATCAATTTATATACACTTTGAAATTATAGTAGAATTGACTTCAAAGTAAATTCTTCAAAGTGTCCACTGATCGGTTTGTGTTAATGTCTTCCCCATGTACGCAAAGTTGAAATAACAGCCTCTTGAAAGGTCACAAGTTTTCCTTTTGTCCTTCGTTCATCACTGAACACAAAAGTTGGATTAAGAGCAGAGGCTGTTTTACATTTTTGCTTTCTTGTTTTTTTGTGTCACCCTTATGACCAGTCTTTCTTAAGAACTCCTAATCTGTGTGACTGTTCAGTTGCCGATGCAGTTTTAAGGTGTGAACATTCTCGGCGGAAACAAGTAGTGAGACGAGTGTTTAAAATAGAAACGGTTATGAGACTTCTGACAGATGAACTGAGCTCTGCAGAGCTGTCAATGCAGAGATCTTATATATTTTATCTCATCTTCTCTGCTTAACCCTCATCTGACCTCGTCACCTGCTGCAGTGATAACAAACATGACATTGCTGATAAAATGTTTAGTGCAAAATCTGTCAAGACTGTTCTTACATCAAAGCAATAAGATTGAAAACCACTGAAATCTCTATGATTTAGTTTAAACTTGGCTCAGTTTAACAGTCCACCTACATGAAATGATTTATATGTCAATACTCACAATTATATTGGAAGCCATTGTGTGTTGTCAGGTGGGTAATTCTCGGAAAAGCCTTTGTCAAAATGTGAGATTTAACTCAGGAGGACATCCCAGTCGTGAACTCCAGCGTCAAGAGCCTGGAAGAGGAAACAAAGAAGTTGATTATCGATGCAAATGTAGAGGATTATAGCTTTAACAGATATTTACATGGAAAGTAATCCACTTTTGACCGGAGGTGCCTCAACATCAACAACCAGGCATATTACTGAAACTGCTTAAAGAGGGATATCTTCCCTAAAGAAAGTCATAGCTACTTCATCAGTGGAGCCTTTCACATGTTGAGAGGGGCAGGGGGAAGTGTGCTGAGCCACAAACCCATGATAATGTTCACATGTATTTGAGTGTAGGACAAACTTGACCATTCCCCACCTCCCTCCGTCCACCTCCGGCGAAAACCTAAACTCTTCTCCGTTACTGTCAACAGTACAGCGGTGGAGAGGGTTGACACCTTCCAGTACCTGGGTGTTGACACCTAACATGGAAGCCACAAATCCTCACAGACTTCTACCGAGGCACCACAGTGAGCCTCCTGACAGGCTGCTTCACCACCCGGTGCTGCAACTTCACCAGCACATACTGCAAGGGGCTGCAGAGGGTACACAGCACATCACCAGGTGCAGCCTGCAGGAGGTGTAAACCCAGCGAGGCCTCACGAAGTCCCCCTAGGTCATAAAGGACGAGACGCATTCTGATCTTGCTCCTGCCCACAGGTCAGAGATACAGGACTCTTCCGACTCACACCATCATCAGGCCATTAAACCAAATGAATAGCACAACCCCCCTGTGCAATTCAACACACCATACGCAACACACATACAGTAAATGTGTACCTGGGTGTGTATTTAAGGAAGAGGTGGCGAGGTGATTATTTTTAACTGAGCACACATATTCTCCGAAAGAAATTTGCATGTGGCATGAAAGAGGGTGAGAGTGTGAATGTACTGTGTGTGTGGGTGTGTGTGGGTGTGTGTTTGTGTGTGTGGTAGCATATCAAGGTCAGTGAGTCTTTTCTCAGTTGTTCACCAAAGCGTGTCATTAATGGGGCGACTGAGAGCACGTACAGCGTCTGTGTGTTCACAGCACTGGTCACGTACTTTGCAGCAGTGGTCCAACTTTTCAAGCTGCCAGCTCACTCAGCCCTTGTTCTGCGGTGCACAATGAGATGAGTGCATGCAGGCTGCCGAGTCCTGAGCCAGCATGACCCAGGGACATTAACACAGCAACTGCATTTTCATAGGAGGACACAAAGGTGTGCAACAGAGACACGCAACAAGCAGCCATTATTTTAGTGTGCCTGCAGTGCAGAAATTCTGCACTTGCACTGGAGACAGAAGGTAAAGTCGAACAAAATCCCACACAATCACTCCTATGAATCATTGTGCATTTAGCTAAAGAAACATTACAGAGGAAAAGCATTGAAGTGGATCATGCTTCTTATACAGAACGTGTTATTACTCCACTAACAGGTTTTGCTTGATTCTTATAGGCTGGGCAGAATAAGGTCAGATCTGACAAGGCCTGGTGGTATGAGCTTGCAACATACAGTGATAGATAATATCACTACTTCTGATAATGCAAGGCAAGAGAGGTGATGGTGGTAGTAGATATGAATTTGGCAATGATATAAATGTAAAATATGAATTTAAATACATCAATACAGACAGTAAAGGACCTATTTAAGAATATAAATACCCTCATTGTTTGTATTCTTGTTTTACTTAGGCTAGGCCTGATCTGCCCTTGAGAGTACTTCCAGTGTTATTAATCTACAAGTGTTAGTAAAAGCGTGTTTTCTGTTTCCTTCTCCTCTGGCGGAAAGTGAACTGCCAAAGAAGACGCGAGTTGAAGCACCACCGTAAAGGGACCGACCTCCTTCCTGTTCCAAATTAGCAAAATCTAGATTATACAGACAACGAAAGTGGGAACGTACCTCAAGTGTAGCGCGCTATCAACTCACAAATCCTGACATTTGGGTCATTCTGACTGAGAGTATCTTTCCACAACTGAGTGAGGAGATGGAGGAGGCGCCTCTTCGCTGCAGCGTTGTACGCACACCCGGCAGTCAGTCAGGAGGGTCTCCGCTGGAGAATCAAAACACCACGAACCGAAAAACATGAGCAGTTTACACGCTGACACAAAAAGTCATGACAAACAGGAAAGAGTTACAAAATCTCCGGGGGGGCGGTCAGAGTTTGAGTCAGCGGGAAAAGCTGCATCTGACGACGGCTTTCCAACTCTCCCGGTGCGCACCGGAGCGCAACTGCGTCCACACGAGGGCGCGGGTACAGTCAGACAAATGTGGATAAAGTTGTGACACAAAGATGACGGTAAAGTTATTTCAAGTAAAACTTTCCCCGTTGGGTTAATCTGTTGGTAACATCCGGCCAAAGTTTTCAGCCAGACATCGAACAGAATAACTTCTGGTTTAAATAGATGGATTTTACGCTTTTATACTTTTTTAAGTGTATTTTTTTTCCCCATCCAACATTGTCATCACACGTTCTGAAGAAGACCTGCTCACATTTCAAGTATCTAATAATTCATTTACACAATAAAAAGAGAGAAAGAGGCCAACACAGATCTTATATGACTCCATACAGGCTCTACTAGTTTTCATGAAACCAGTATAATAAAGATTTCATTAATTCAGGGTATTACCTCATTTCTTGAGGAAATATATTAGACATGCATTTCCCTTAAATAAATGAAGTCTAACGCATTAAATAACACAATAATAATACTAATATTAATTATAATAATAATGATAATAATAATCATTTGTATGTCACGACAATGCAGTATATCATAAATGACCAGATGAATAAATCAAAGTAAAACCAAGCGTTATTCTTTAGGCTTTTATGAAATATGTGTGTATATATAATATATAAATAAATGTTCATACTTTCTATAATACGTGTATAAGTCCATAGTAGTTCATAATAACATAAGAATTATAAAATGGTTTACTATAAAGTCACATACTTTACACATATAGATATAGTTTCCTGTTTGCATGGAAAACAAATCGTTACATTTTAAAGTTGGAACTTCTCAGACTTGTTAGAAATCATTTGAATATTTTTTACTGCGATTACACCAACGAACAGGAGGAGGAAATGGGAGCCAGGAAAAAAAAGAAAAGCACATATCATCACCTACAAATCCATATGGTTTAGTGGACAGAGCTGTGGTGGTTGTGAAAGGAGATATCCCTGACGTCAGGTGCTGGTGATCACTCCTGTATCATGAATCCATCTGGCTCATCACTCGTCACCGTGTGACGTCACCCAGCACAGGAGTATAAAATGGTTCCGTCGAGCAGGTTCTGCACATTCAAACCCTCAACTTTCAACAGAGGAGGAGGAGAGAGGAGAGGAGACAAGGACACAAGAAAAAAAGACGAAAAGAAGACGAAGAACAGACCAAGTGTTTGGAGTATGAACACATTCCTGGTTTTCCTGTTGGCGCTGGGCTTTCTCGTGTGTGAAGGAGGTAAAGAAATTATGTTTTAAACTAGAGCCGGGAAACTCAAGACAACTGTCTAAAGTTTCTCTTGAAGTAGTTTGGGGATACATTTTATTATTTTGTATCTTAACTCACACATATTATAGCTTCAAAATCTAAAAAAAAAACTTGGTCCAGGTGTGTTTTTATTTAATCTTTATGGTCTTACAAATATTGTAGGTAGTTTCTTTTTTTTTTATTTTAAAATTTTTTCTCATATGAGAAGAAGAGAATTCTAATAATCTTAAAACAATTGTCCACATTGTCTTTCCCAGGTAACCCATGTTGCTCAGAGCCATGCCAGAACAAGGGCGTTTGCATGGCACTCGGAGCAGATGATTATGAGTGTGACTGCACACGGACAGGGTTTCATGGACAAAACTGCACTACACGTGAGTAAAGGAGGAGAACAACATATCAGGTGAATCCTGGAATCAGGTTTGGTCTGTTTTACTCAATGTTTCTTGTTTGTTTTACAGCCGAGTTGCTCACACAGATCAAAATGACCCTGAAGCCTTCGCCCAACACCGTCCACTACCTTCTCACCCACTTCAAGGGCTTCTGGAACATCATCAACAGCATCTCATTTCTCCGGGATGCCATCATGAGATATGTGCTGACATGTAAGTCTCGCTCTCGCCCGAGGCAGAAATTAGATGGATTGTAAATGTCTTCTTGCCACTTTAAACAATTTGTAAAGCAAGTTGTTGAGAGGCAGGTGTAGTTTTAATATCGAATGGCTATATAAATAAATGTCTTTCTTCCCCTTCCTCTTCAGCCCGATCCCACATGATTGATAGTCCTCCAATCTACAATGCGGATTATGGCTACAAAAGCTGGGAGGCCTATTCCAACCTCTCCTACTACATGCGCACCCTCCCCCCTGTCCCCGAGGATTGCCCAACACCAATGGGAGTAGTAGGTGAGAACACTCCCTCTGTTTCTGGAGAACCAGTTTTCACAGATTCTTGAATACCGAGCGGCTCGGTCCCATTACATCATCGGAAGTGTGAAAATATTCCTTGTGACTGACAAGGGTTGAAATAAGCTGAGTGAACACAGCTCAACCTGAAGACATCAAAACTAACTTTTACACATTCCACATAAAATAGCTGACCTTATTCTGTATTGTAGTGTTTGTATCCTAACTGTGATGTTCTTAACTGTTTCTCCAGGTAAAAAAGAGCTTCCTGATGCTAAAGTTTTGGCGGAGAAGCTCCTGATGAGGAGACAGTTCATCCCAGACCCACAGGGCACCAGCCTGATGTTTGCATTCTTTGCCCAGCATTTCACCCATCAGTTCTTCAAATCCGACATGAAGAAAGGACCTGCTTTTACCCAGGCTCAAGGTCACGGGGTAAGAAAAGCAGATTTCAGACTATAGGTCAGGTTTTCTGAATGATTCATTAAAAGGTAACATGTATTAATGGTGTCGTTGCTTTCAGGTGGACCTCAGCCACATTTATGGAGGCAACCTGGAGAGGCAACACAAGCTCAGGCTCTTCAAGGACGGCAAGCTTAAATATCAGGTATGAGAAGAGACAGATGAGACAGACGCCTGCTTCCAACCACACAAGTGTCCTAACAGTTGCTTCCTCTATTTCGTAACCCTGCAGATCATGAACGGAGAGGTATACCCCCCGACAGTAAAGGAAGTGGGCGTTGATATGCACTACCCTCCTCACGTCCCTGACTCTCACCGCTTTGCTGTTGGCCATGAGGCGTTTGGCCTGGTCCCGGGTCTGATGATGTACGCCACCATTTGGATGCGGGAGCACAACCGCGTGTGCGACGTGTTGAAGGAGGTGCACCCCGACTGGGATGACGAAAGACTCTTCCAGACCACGCGGCTCATCCTGATTGGTGAGTTTAAGAGTGGTTAACTGCTTTACTGTAACTGGGAAAATAAATTCAAAACAGTAATAAGATGATAGGAGTTAGGGGGAGTTTCAAAAAGAGGAAGTTTTTATTTGGTTATCACCTAAAAAAATACCCTGTTGCACACAATGAAGCATTTCAGGAACAAGGTTTGGTGAAAGATATAAGAATTTATTTTCAATATTAGAAAGAGGAAATTATATTTTTTTTTTATTTCAAAACATCACTGCAGGTTCAATAGCTTCTACAGACAAAGAATAAGTCAAAGATCCTTCAAGAGATTGTTTAAGACTTAAAAATTACTCAAAAATTTTATTGTCTCTGCACAGACATCATGCTTAACAGTGAAGCAACACTGAGCAAAACACATTTATGAAATCAAGAGGGACAATGAAAACCTATAGCATCTGCATCACATAAAATATATTAAAATCATTTCTCTTTTAGGTGAAACCATTAAGATTGTGATCGAGGACTACGTGCAGCATCTGAGCGGCTACCACTTCAAGCTCAAGTTCGACCCAGAGCTGCTCTTCAACCAGCGTTTCCAGTACCAGAACCGTATTGCCTCAGAGTTCAACACACTCTACCACTGGCACCCGCTGATGCCCGACTCGTTCCACATCGACGAAACAGATTACAGCTACAAACAGTTTGTCTTCAACACTTCTGTGGTGACCGAGCACGGCATCAGCAACCTGGTGGAGTCATTTACCAAGCAGATCGCAGGACGGGTAAGAAATGCTCTGAGTGTCATTTGAGACTGTGACATTGCTGTTGTTGCTTCAAGTTTGCACAGCTAACTTTTCATGCTTTTTTTTTTTGTCCAGGTCGCCGGTGGCCGTAACGTCCCTCCAGCTATCATGCACGTGGCCATTAAGTCCATAGAGAACAGCAGACAAATGCGTTACCAGTCTCTGAATGCCTACAGGAAACGATTCAACATGAAGCCCTACAGCTCTTTTGAGGACATGACAGGTGAGACACAGTTGAGATCTCCCACAAAACCTGTAGAGCTATTATAGGTGGAAAGGAAGATTAGTGAGGAGGTTATTATCGAAAGGAAATGATGCATCAAGCCATATTATTGCTGTAGTATTAATATTATGATTGTCTTTTACTGGTTGCAGGGATGAAATACAACATTTAAAAATGCAGATCAAGAGATCAAACCTCATGTCATAGAAAACTTACTTATAATGAAGGACATTGCTTGGACCCTGTCTAAGTCCCCACCGGTTTTGGAGGTTAGGAATTTATTTACGTGAGTTTTAAGCCCCAGATGTTCATTTAATCTTGAGACAGTGTAAGCAGACCGTCATCACAGAGCGTGAGACGTAAACACATAAGAGAGGCCTCCTCCTCCTGCTGCTGCTGTCACTAATGTTGATTAAAACTGAATGTGATATATGAGTAAAAAAAGTAACGTTGGGAGAGAGAAGGAAAAAGAAGCAAAAGTAAGAAGTGGTAGTTTCTATTTCACACGCTCGATTTGAATGAGTCAAACCGAAAGTGATGATAGTTAGAGAACAGGTAGCTGCGATCTTTGCAGCTGCTGCACCCGTGAGACTGACTGAGTTGCTAACTCAAACTGTTTTCCCATCTGCGTTGCTCAGGAGAAACGGAAATGGCCGCAGTGCTGGAGGAGATGTACGGACACGTCGATGCTGTGGAGCTCTACCCCGGCCTGCTCTTGGAGAAGCCCAGGCCTAACTCCATCTTCGGTGAGACCATGGTGGAGATGGGGGCCCCTTACTCCCTCAAGGGCTTAATGGGAAACCCCATCTGCTCGCCGGAGTATTGGAAGCCCAGCACCTTCGGCGGAAGCGTGGGATTCGACATCGTCAACACTGCCTC